CCATCCTTGGCGAGGACCGATGGCTCCAAATAGGAGCGGATGTATTATTATTATTATTATTGTTATTATTATTATTATTAATCTCAGCGGTCTATCAACTAGACACAGAGCCAACATAAAACCATGGAGATCAGCGGATAAAGGACCACCATCGCGTCATAATCATCGTGCCATAATAGTTGAAGGTGAGCAACACACTTCAGCTAATATACCGCAGGAAGAATGGATCATTTTGACAAAAAGTAGAACAAAACATTTTACTTTGTTTTTCATATGCCGATTTTTCTCTTTTTTGTCATTTTCAATGTTTGTAGTATTAAGCATGTGAATCAGTACAATACTGTACACTATTCTTCCACTGATTTCGGTTGCGGGCCACGTCTTCAAGAGTGCTAAGCCATTGGCACTCCTCATCTTTGGGTCCCCATCCTGGAAGACGTACGGATCCAACAGCGGCTAGACACGACGTCAGCGATTTCATGTGCTGCCGCCAAGTGGAAGGTTGACTACCACGCGGACGCATTTAGTCAGGTCCTTGACGAGGGAGTAGAGCGCGATGCGGTAGACGCTCAGGTCCTATGCGTAGGACATGACCGAGCCATCTCAACTGGCGCAACAAAACCAGTTTGTTGAAGGGAATACTCGCATTCCCCAAGATGTGACGTCGAACGTCATTACTATTAACTCGATGTTGCCACCAAACACTAGCGATCTTCCTTAAGCAACCGTTATCGAAGGCAGAAAGACAATGCATGTCTTCCACGCGAATCGGCCAGGACTCGCACCCATACAACAATACAGAGCGAACTGATTCGCTGTAAACGCGACCCTTTAGTGAGAATGAGACGACACCACATGTGCCTCAGATTGACAAATGCTGATCGAGCTTTAGCGATACGAAGAGAAACTTCTTTGTTGATAGTGCCGTCAGCAGAAACACAGCTCCCAAGGTAGACGAAACTATCTACCTGTTCAAGTTGTGCACCTTGGAGAGTGAGCACGGGAGCAGGTGAAAGCCAATCCTTGAGCAGTACCTTACACTTCGATGGGGCGAAGCTCATGCCATAGTTAGATGCTTCAACCGCCACACTACCCAGAATGAGTTGCATACCCTGAGGATCGTCACCAAGTAAGGCGATATCATCAACATAATCTAAGTCGGTCGCGCCCTTACCCGATAGAAGTTCTAGGCCAAAATTTTGGAAACCTTCTAGAGCATTCGACAGAACATCTTCGATTGCGAAGTTAAAGAGGAATGGGGAAATAGGGCAACCCTGTCACACACCGCTATTGATAGCGAATTGCGTGGAAAGTTTGTGATAAACCCTCACTCTGCCGGATGTATGAAGGTAAAGTGCTCGCAAGATGGCGGTATATTTCTCTGGCACCTCGTTCTTTAGCAAGCAACGCCATAAAGCAGGTTCATCAACGGAGTCAAAAGCGGCACGTATGTCTAAGAATGCAATGATAATGGACCTGTGATAAATGTGGCGATGTTCGAGGAGTTGACGGAGCGTGAAGATTTGCTCCACGCATCCGCGGCCGGAACGGAAACCAGCTTGTTCTTCACGGTAGTATGAATCACATATTGGGGATAGTCTACGGAGCGGAATTGATGACAATTGCTTGGAGGCAACCGAACTAAGACTGATCCCGCAATGATTTGCACATAAGTACGAGCGCCTTTCTTGAAAATCGGGACAATAATTGATTCGCCTCAAGAGGAAGGCACTTTCTCTTCATGCCAGATTTTTGCGAACAGCGCGGTCAGCTGTTTACTAATCGCTACACCGCCGTACTTGAATAGCTCCGGAGGAAGTCCATCTAAGCCGGCAGCCTTGAAGCACTTCAAGCGTCGAATCTCGAGGCAGACTTCCACTTCGCTGGGTGGATTCAGCGGGACGAGCCAGGGTGGACAACAACCATGGACTGTATTACAACGTGCTCATCAGCTACTGTTTCTGTTAGGAGCGGATGATCTGAGGTTGGACTTAGACTTGTCGACAGGACAGGGTTGACGCCTTGCGACCACGTGAGTTGAAACTAAAAGGCAAACACTCATCAAAGCAAAGTGAAGGAGATCGAATTGAAGGATTTAACAGTAGAGGACGAACCTGAAGTTACAACAATGCGATAATGATAGAAAGCATTACAGAGGGGATAGAAAGACGAGAATGTCTGCGTAGCTTTTTTAATCCTATTCACGCTGCTCGATATGGGGAATTTTACACCGTTGGTTGTCATCTATGATGAGCAGTTTAACTATTGTTTTCACTTTATCCTTTTCATTTGATGCAAATTCTGTGGCTCTCGATAGATCTTTTCGTTTCGGCAAACCTGACGCAGAACCTGATATACCGACTAAGTTTCTTGCGTGTCTGAACGCATTTGCTTCGTTTCAACTCTCTCAAGTCAAGAAAAAAAGCAAAAGCACGACGCTTTAAGCAAACAATTGTTTTCGATTTATTCTTCTTCAGGCTTATACATTAATATACTATAGAGTAATGTTGGCTGTAATCGTCAGCATAACAAAGAATCAGTTGGCTTACTTATTTGACTTGCGATCATGATGTCAATCTTTTTTGATTACATGATTTAAATCAAGTGTGCCTGTGGAGTGCGGTCATTCCCTTCCCATCTGATTATCGACCACGGAAGTTGCAGTGATTGTGCCATTTTCTTCTGGACACGCAGGTCGGGGCTTGTTAGCCGTTGACATATTGCTTCAGCAGCAGTAAGTAAGCTTACTACTAATCTATGGTTATGCCTAGGCGGTATCCTGTAGAAAATCTGAAATGCAGTTTGTTTGCTTATCTGGTGACCGGTGTTGATTAGATGGTGCATACTTACCCTGTAACTTGTTCTGGTTTCGTGATTAAAGAGTCTACTTGGTAGAGGTTACTCAGTTCGCTTACCTAAATGCCTAGTCGTACGTCAACCGTACTTGGCCCCACATGAACAGTTGAGCCTGTAGATTAACATACGGATAACCAACCCTGATCTATGTTTTCAGAAGAAAATAGTACAATCACTGCAGTTCCCGTGGCCGGTCATCAGACGGGAAGGAAATGACCGCACTCCGCAAGCCCACCTGACCTCAATCAAGTGATCAAAGGATTGACTTCATGATTACAGGTCAAATTATCTTTTATTTGTTTATTGCGGTGTGATTCTATCAGATGGTCAAGCGTAGACAAGGGTTTGTTGTGAAACCCTGGTCGTAACAGCGGGATTTTAGCGGTGGGTTACGGGAATTCTATTTAATTACTATGAAGCCACTATCATTCCAACATTTAACTTGGAGTTCGATGAAGTCGATTTTTTCTAACCTCTGATCCTTGACGGGAGCCGCTCTGAAGCACACGAGGCACCACATACCAAAACTCAGTGGACGGTTGGGGGACACAAACCACCGCACCACGTCAAAGCACAGCCTACTTGCGATGCTTTCGAATAACCGAGATCGTTTCTTTGTTTTTTTTCCTGGACAATGGATCCTTTGCAGTGTATCTAGGGTGCTTGTTGCTTCCGGTGCTTCAGTGTTGTTACTTAGCCGTGAAGGTTTTCAACCGGGCTTTTGACAACAGACATAATTTCGTGCAACATTTTCCATAGTAGCTTAACAAGCGCATATTACTCGAATTGTTACTGGACAGAAGGTTACACCAGCTTTGTGCAGACGGCGCTCATGCTTGTTCTCTGCCAATACCTGGGACTGCGCGTTGCTTAGTATTGTTTTTCGCTGTCAATACCCCTGATCGTATGATGAAAATGATGAGTAAAGAGACAACCATATTATCCGGACCACCCGTTCACCCCTTATGAAGCGTTTATTTGCAGTTCTTGCCGTTATACTGGCAGCAGCCTAGATGCGCGATTAGTAAATGTAATAAAAATCGATTCTTTTGTTCCATTTAGGCTTTCGCCGGTGAATTCCTTTCGACGTTGGTCGCTCATTTGGCCTTGTTCTATTCACATAGTATGACTTCAGTATAATACCTCTAGTAGCTGTCATGTTAATCTCTACTATGGTTCACGCAACTAAATGTAGTCGTTCCGATTGCCATGACGGGCGGCTCTTTGCTTCTAAAGGCATAAATAACATGCGGTTGAAATTGTACACAGGCATGGTAGTACAATTGATGACAGTGGAGAGAATATTTGATTTTCGCATACAAAGAGCTGCAACAGGGAATAGGAAACCGTGTTCACGTGTGTTACGTCCTGTTCGTTAGGACTTCTTAGCAATGATGTGGTTTATCCCAAGAAATCTTATGCACGGAGACGGCGAGCACCGATTTTTTTTACCACTTGGGAACATTGCTATTTTGTCCATATCATCAACCGACTGCTCTGGTGTAACTGGACGCTGCAACGGTAAACACCGCACTTGGGTGTAGAGCTCCACAGCAGTCATTCGAGGAGCGTGATTTGGCCAACTTATCGACGCAAGTTCCTCAGACAATTTTGTGCTTCACTAACAGGTTTGCTGTTCACCGCTGAGCCTCATCATTAATGCAGGGTCTTTCCACCATTAACCATTGGATCTTGCTGTGCTTTTGTTCTGTCCTGTTCATTTCGGCACCCGGCACAACCCATTAACTGCAATTCGCATATGCTTTTTCCCAAGTGATCACACCTCTAGTACCATTCAGTCCCGCAGCAGTGACGGAGTGGTTCCGGCTTTTGGCTTGTAATCCATAGGCAACCCGTTCGAACCTGCTCATGCGCGAGCGAACTCCAACTGTCTAAGCGCACTTGCAACCGCTGATGTTTGCGTTTCAGCGAAGCGTCAGTGTTGAGTTCCGGCGCACCACTAGTGCCTATTCAATCCCGCATGCTAATTCGGCTCTGTCTTCCACTCTGATGGAAAGAATGCGGCCTTTTCGCTTTTGTTTTTTAATAGAACCCTTCTTTTACAACCTGTTCTTTTATTTCATCCTGTCTCTAATCCCTAACTACCTGTCTAATATTTAGTAAATTTTTGTTTTTCCCTTTAGGAACCGCGGAGCCCCCTCCACTGGACGTTTGCGCCGTCTAGACGGTGCGCCTGCCCATTGGGCAGGAAGGCCTGATGGACCTCCGGTCGCCGTAGCGCAAGATATTCATTCGCGTCTACCGAAATTTCAGCAACTTGCACTTCACGCTTCCGCAACTACCGACACTCTTAATGAAAGGGTGCTGAATATAGTAGATCCTGCCTGTGAACATCGCACCGCTCAACCCATAATCCCCCACGACGCGTTCGCCCTCGTCAGCTCCACTGTATCTCATGTGGCATGCTCTTCTCGTGAAGGATGTGGAGTGGTGAACGGCACAAAAACAAGTGCTCAGTTGAGTAAGCAGTTTACGATTGCTTCTCATGAAGCAGATGATATTGTAGTTGATCCTGATGGCGATGTCAAACCGACTGAGAACGAGGAAGAAGAGGAGGAGGAGGAGGAGGAAAATGTCCCGGGCGCGAAGCAGATCCAAAGTACTCAGCCCTCTGGACCCGCTTATCTTGCTCGCTCGCCTTTCATAGAAAGTCAGCCAACATCAGACTACTTCCACCACTTTTTGACTTCTAAAGCTAGTTGTGGAAACTTGCTGACTGCTACTTCCAACCAAAACCGCGTATTGACAGGCTCTCGCTCCAGCACGCAGCTTCGCTCCAATTACATTCCAAGCACTACCTCATTCGTCCATCGAAAAGTTGTCACATCCACTCATCCATCACAGGCACATACAGTCAACCATGCTTCGTATTTGTCAAGTGTTAAATCCTCAGGCCCGAGAGACCGTCGAACAGCTCATGCTGTTCCTCCCACTTCAACAACTGCGGCGCTCACAACCAATGCATTTGGTCCTGATCAGCCAAATGTGACTTCGAATTCCAAGTGTTCTACCATGTAACAGCTTGCTTCGCGTTCTTGCTCAATTTTGAACTCGGTGTGCTCTGAACTCGTTCTGCGTTCAGTTTCCGCATTCTATGCATATTTTTGTCTCTATGTTAACAGTCTTTCTCGTTCGCCGAAGCATGAACCCGTGATTGCGTCATTCCAAATGCTCTGTCCTTGACTTTTTGGGCCCTTTGGTATCCACTTCATTCGCCTGCGAAAAATCATAGAAATTCTGTCCTTTTCTTATCTGTGCCCTTCTTCTAAGGCCGCGATGTGTATGGCTCTGGATTGACCCGTTCATCACGTTTTCTTCTACTCAACCACTTGTAACTAGTGATGCATCTGCAGACAGCTTTTTGGATGGGTGCTCTTTTCCTGATCCATGTTCTCATTAGCCTTCCTCCGAACCCGTCCGGAGCAACACAGTTTATCAAGTGTGTCTTCACTACCAAGCGCTTTCGTCCTTTTTCTGATGATCAGATGCAATTCCCTTTGGACATAAACGGCTTAGCATACCATTTTCTTCCCACCAAGCATCACCGTATCTGATGCTTCGGTCTCCCTAGACTTTTTGCATTCTTTTCTCTGTGGAGCCCGTCCAGCTGGCCCCTCTGTTGTCTCCTTAGCACGCACGTGTTTTTTTAACAGACTGCATTCACCCTTTAGATGTCTGTTGCGCGCGCACAGACCTGTTCACCCCTTCACGTGCCTACGACTGGTGACAATGTACTTATTTTGTTTGATTCTCCATTCAGCTCTACAAATGGACCACATCCACCTCACAGTCTTCACTTGTGCGGCAAGTTGCTCAACTAGCGTTGCCTAGAAATATTTCATTACAATTTAGAATGTTTCACTTCGTCCATTTTTATTTCATACCTGGAACGCCAACGTTTTCACAAACTCGTTACATGGTTTACTTCGTCCCAACTAAGCTGTCAGGCAACTTCTAAGCATCTAACTAGTCACTGATATCACTCACTTTCGACTCGATGTAGAAGTGCGATCTCATCCTTTCTCTTACTAGTCGGTCTTAAAAGTCATGGTTGAAGTCACCAAGTAGAGACTCTTCGTGCACTGTTTCCCCACTGCTTGAAGTCTAACCCTCCTTCCTCTGCACATCGATACTACCTGTGGGTGTGGAGAACGCACAGCACTTCTCTTCATCACTTGATCAATTATGATTCGGGTATCCACCTGCAATGGGTCTAATTGCGCTATATTCTACGTTACCACATGGTCAAGCAATATGATAAACAACTATTGCGGAATGAAAGTGCGAACATCGGAAATAAGTGTAGAGAAAGGGCTTACTAAAAGGGCTAGAGTGGATTCATTGGATGGGTCATTTCAAACGAAAGAGATGGAACCATTAGGGACTTATGGCAACTGGCTGGCTGCATTTGCTCTACAATCGCGCCACCCTAGGAAAAATAAAGTCAGCAGCAGTACACCGGCACATGGTAACTATGCTTCGCTGCAACACGACCATTATCAGTCGCGCGAAAGCTGGGTAGACCACGAGGTCGCTCGCACCTACGCGAATTAGAACGCAAGCGTCCAATCTTTTTGGTAATCGGCCGAATCCTTTCTGACACCCCAGTTCAACTAATGACAAGTCCTGTCTCTTTAGCTCTACCCAGGAAGACAGCATATCATCTGTCCAATATGAGGCTGTACCAAAACTGATACGGTGTCCACTATTGAGATGAAAGATAGCAGGTATTTACAAATGTTCATACAATGCGGCTTCACATGACTTGTCACTGAATCCTAACTGGTGGATCAGTGTGCCGGTCAAGCTAAATTCAAGCGTGACCATTGGCTCAACAGTTGTCACGGACGATCAGCCACTTAATAAATGATCTGGATGACAGCCGACAAAGTCAGCTTGAGAGTACCTCGGTGCACTGTTATCATGAATAGAGCGGCTATGCCAACTGCCAGTAAACTCTCTTTGCACGATAGCCAGCTGTTTGTGACGGTATGTTGTCTACACAAGGTGTAGGCGCCTTGACCCTGAATGTTTGCTTAGGACATAAAGGTTTTCAGGTAAGTCCCCCTTCTCTCCCTCTTCTTATACTTTATTTCATAGTTCCTCATGGTTGTATGGCAGCGAAGCATCAGTTCAAATGGCTGATGTACTGCTGTTGATGATGATGATGAGTAAACTATCGTCTGCAAACAACTATGTGAGCATATTCCATCGGGTCCAGTCGCCTTGTTTCTTTTCAGCAATGCAAATTTAGTTCTGTCTATTCGAAATAGCGGATATGTCAACGATCCGATTGGATCAAGTGCTCCTTCGAATGATTAGTACGGCGGGCATAAGAATGAATTAGACGTTCCTTTCTCTTGGACTACCGCATTCACTGAGACCTCTTGAGACTGTTCACTGGATGTATTGAGACAGCCTCCAGATCACAGTTGTCTCTCCTGTACGCCAGCGTCACTAATCACTTACCGCTTCACTGCTACAGGTAGCGCAAGGTTAGCTACTCGAAGAAATCATCCTTCAAGCTATTTGCAGCTTCAGCAATTTGTTCACTTTTAGCAAAGATTCCTGTTAAATCGATAAATAGGGTTGGCAGCATTTTTCATGACTCATTGGAGGAACCTGATCGGCAGCTGCCCCATATACTTCATCTGTCGGCTACAACTGACTACTGTCTGTCGGATAATGAATTCGAGTAACTATTATCTGATCTCCTTTGGAGCTTTCCTTACACCGGTGGAATGGGTGCGATGTGCGCACACACACTGGCTTGGTTTACATCCGGGTGGTGTTCCAACCTGGCCAGAAGGTTGCAGGGATGTGGACCGTAGGTGGCTGATGGCGACTGTCGACTTGTTCGGGATAGTATATGGTCCGGTGTACACCAAGTGGAGCTATGCGGAAGCATGTTATAGAAGAACACTTGGTTGATGTTAAGTTTATGGTGTGCGTTCGATCGGTGAATACGATGTAATGGGTATCGACTTTAGCAACTGCCTCAAAGGCTTTATTCACTGTCCGGTGGGTTCCCACTTGTGGATTCCTAGCACCGGCAACAATCACAAGATCCATATTCCTGATCATGCAACCGAGTTACGTGTTTCCCAGTAAACTGCAGCCGGTTGGAGTATATGCTAAGACAGTGAAATACCCCGCCGCTTCTGACTCTTCGCTGGATTCGATTTATGTTCAAAATGTGATTGCATACATTCATTCATTATACACATCAGCTAGAGGTGGGAAAACACCTCCGCTATTGTGCCGCAATACATGAAAGAAATACATACATACGTATAACACAATACACAAAGGAAAAAATAGATACAACAGTTGCATGCCAGCTGAGCTACCAGCAACGGATAGGCATCGTTCCGGTAAGCTTCCAGCCAGCTACTAGGCAAAAAGAAATTTTTTTATTTATTTATTATGTTTTACCCTACGAAATGAGATCGTAGATGGAGGGGGAGGCTAAAAGGGATGGGGAGAGACAAAGAAACTCACAGCAGGAACGCCACTGAGGTCGGCTCCTTGCCATGTCAGCAAGTGTATCCAGCCAAACGTGTTCACCGTCTTTTGGACCCCAACCAGGGAGCCGTGAAGCTCCAACCGAGGCTAGATTCAAAGTGAGGGACTTCATTCCTCTGGACCAAGTCATCGCTTGGCCACCTCTCCTCTTCTTCCACCTACATCCCCGGTGAGCAAACAACGCACGTCGAGGGGGTCGGTGGGCTGGCATGCGTAACACGTGGCCGAGCCATCGGAGCCTGGTGATTGCATACAGGTTGCCGATAACCAGAATCCGTTCATACTTTCTGTTTGAGTCACTTCCGTCATCGTCCTCGCCCCTAACCGTAGGAGGCGATGTTGCCATCATCGCCGAAACCCGAGATCGGCACTCGGAGCTTCATTGAGGCGTCATAATTTTGTTTGCATGTTCCAGAGACTGCACAGCTTAAATCTCGTATATTCCAAGGTGTAGGTGGAACTTACCTGTTCACTCATCTGACGTGTGTGGACAGCGAGAGCCCCAGTGTGGCCTGCAGAACAGTTTACGTTTGCGGTCAGCACATGTTTCGAAGTTGGCAGGTCTCTTGCTATGTACGTTTGCTAGAATTGGTATACAAAAGAAGGGAAGCATAAAGATGAAGGAACACTTACTATGAGCTTTCGTGGACGGCTGATACTTTTCGGTGACCCATTCCCAAAAGTTGCCTTGTTCCAGGGCACTCGCTTTTGTGCTTACGCTTAATAGCCTGACCTACACGATAGTGGAGTGAATATATCCTACTCCGCTAGCTTTATTCGGAACATTCGATTCAGTTATCCTGTCTGCAAGACAGTGTGGATCTGATCTACCCCTGGAATGCAACTGTAAGCTCTTGCTTTCAACTACGCGTGATCGGCCACACGAATGGAAGGCATCTAGCGGATGTTTCCGTTCTTAAGCGGATGCTGCACTCACGATAACGGACAGGCGCGGACATATTTCGGCTGTTTCGCGTCTTGTTGCTTGGAGATTGTGCGGATTGATTTGGGGTGGTTTGCTACTCGAGGGTCATCAGAGACAACCTATGTTACGCTATAAACCAGTTGCGCGAGCTAGTTGCTCCTACACGTTTACTGTCATGGCTATTTTGAGTGTGGGGATCATCAATCCAACTAGACCCCCTAGAGTCAGGTGCTGGGACCGATTTTGTATGGCATCCGAGGATTGGCATCGCCGGTGTGTGCCACCGAGAAAGTGACAGTTATTTTGTCCCATTGGGTCCGGAAACAGCAGGACCATGGCAGTGCGTTTGTCCTGTCTTACTCTGACAGGTCGCCATGTCTTATCACATGCAATCACTTAGTCTCCTCGGTTATCACTCTTTTCGTGACCTCAGGTTTGCTATTTGCAGTCTCAGATGGTTCTGGATGCGTACACGCTGTTGATTAGTGCCGGAAAACTGCATCGGCCTTGTTGTGAATTTGCATCTGCAAAGGCTGCTCATTTGCAAGGATTAACAACTTATGGTGGTCTGCTTCCTGTGGAATGCAGTTCGTCAGTCTTGTTTTGATCTAAACGCTGTTTCAATTCCAGACGGCCAACTCTGTTTCTTTGGAATTTTGTTTTTCTTCAACGTACGAGCTATTTACTGCACATCTATTCTAAGCCGAAATTATTTGTGCTTCAAATGCGCCATCACAGTTGCGTCATCCAGTCATCTTATTATTTCTAATCTAAGGTACGATAGGCCGGAAGTGAAACGACCACTGGTTGGTTCGGCGGAGCTGTTCGCCACTAGATTACGGATCGAAGACTTCCTTCCCTGCGAAACTAACTGTGTGTACTCCTCAGCTGTTCGCAGGCGAGATGAATAAGCAGTCGCAGATAATCAGTGGCAGCGTCCTAGACCTTGTGGGTTCCGGGCTGGTCATCTGGTTCCTCACCAAATGCCACAAGAGCTCGTATGATGTTGTGTCAATGACAATGCGTTTGACCATGGGCTCACTGACCACTTACTTCAACGACCAGAAGTGAGTATCCAACGGTGGGCGGATGAACAACCTCGATGGCCACCTTCTTCTACGAAGGCGTATGAGCCACCTGTCTGTTAACAGCGTTCGTGCTTTCCGGCGAGCTCGGTGGTTCAGGAAATTTCTACTGGTATCCGCGCCGCTTTACTCGGGTTTCTTGGTCGTCTTGAGCAGTTTGTTACTACTTGAAAGCCCTGTTCTCTTCATTGTGGTAGCCGCATCCCAACGATTTGCGAAATACGTCAGTCGCCCTACTGCCTTGCGGGTCACGTCTTTATGATCCAAGGATCTAACTGGGGTCCTAGGTCAACCTTCCTCGGCGTGGGCGACCGATTACCATACCCACACAACATATTGACCGATGTTTCAACGACATTCACCTCGCTCTCTGCCAACGCTACCCCCGGTCGAGGTGATGGCGTCCGAACAGGCTAAACC